TATATATAGAGAGAGAGAGAGAGAGAGAGAGAGAGAGAGAGACAGAGACAGAGACAGAGAGACAGAGACAGAGAGAGACAGAGAGAGACAGAGAGAGAGACAGAGATGGTGGGATGTGCTTTAAGAAATGAGAGTGGAATTCTGTAGGCCACCACAGTGGGCCTTGAACAGAACCACCCACGGTATGTGTTAAAACCCAAAGATGGTGATGACTGGCATGCCGAATTGGAACCCTTCATTCCTTGCTGTCTAGGGGGAGGGTGGGCTTCAAGTCTTAGGTGCTGCTCCTGAACAATGCAGTGGTAAGCTTTCCCCAAAACTTCAGTTACAAGGGATATCCTAAGGGGAGGTGGCAAATGGTGCCAGACTTGGAAGTGTCTGTGGCTTACCATTTGTATCTGCAAAGCCCTGCACTCCAACAGCTCTGGGCGATAGGCATAGCTCACAGTCATCATCGCCATCCTGGACTGGGAGCTTCCTGTGTGACAGTCACTAGTCTAGAAGTGTTACAGACGATCCAATCATATTGGGTAGCAACACATAATCAATTTTATCCCCATTTTTGCATGAGTAGAGAACAAGACAAAGGCAATTGGCTAACAGGCTCAAGGTCACACCAGGCCATTTAGGTCACCATTGTGCACATCCCACTAGTCCTTCAGAAGGAGCTGTTGTCCTTGAGAAGTGTGAGTTCAGCAACTCCTGGATTGGTTAATTTCTTGCTAAGTTACTTAACTGACGATCAGTTAGCTAGGTGTAAGCGTTAGTTGATTTATTCATTAACCCATCTCCAGCAAACATTCTCTTAGCCTTCACATGGTTTTATTCTATGCATGCAGCAACAGACATGTACCACATCCACATATTACCATCTGACTTTGGACCAAGTGTTTCTAACCAGCCAAGGGTCCTTCTGTTCAGTTTGGGATAGCAATTATGAAAAGGCAAAAGACGGCTCTTTTCAGTGTTTTCAGCCTTATGGATGGTTAGCTTTGTCAACTCAGTTGGCCTAAGAAACACCTACCAGGCGTGTCTAAACTTTTGACCCTGTGATGCAACATCATTATGTACTACAAAGGTCACACTTGTGCAGTCTAATTACAGGGCATGAGTGCTGCATGCCTTTATCCCAGTCCCTCACACAGTGCATAGCTGTGACACCGGAAGAGCCCTCACAGGCATGCCAGGGACTGATCCATACAAAGTCCCAAAACTCTTACCAGGTCGCAGCCTGGAAGGATAGGAGTCAGCATGTGTGTTGAAGACCTCTAGGCAGGGATGTGGGGATCCAGTACATTCTCTCCTTGGTATGCCTGTGTGCTCAGCCTATCTCTCTAGGTGGAGTGACATTTTCTCTTCTGACCCCTTGAGTGCATATTTGTGTCCTGACCAGAGGGTACATGGCATGCCAGTACTCTAGAATTCTGATCAGACTGTGGGCATATGAAGGAAACTGGTCAGCCACATGTGAGTCTTGGAAGGGTCCAAGCAGCTCCCACGAGAGACAGGCTGTTTGTCAGGAAGAGGTATGAGAGGTCTGTCAGAAATTTCCAGACTTTACATTCTAGTTGTCAGTGGTTTTGCAGGGTATTCTCTATGCCAGAAAAAGTACTCCCCAGTTCTGCATATTAAGTAATTACATCCAAATAGTTGAACGGTACTTTTTACAAGTAATTATTTTCAAAATTAATACGCAGGGCTGGCATTGTGACAAATACTAATAATCCTGTGTTCAGGAGGTAGAGCATGAGGAGTTCAAGGTTATCCTGTGTAACAAAGTGATTTGAGTACACCCTGGGCCACATGACACCCTGCCTCAAAATAAACAATGGAAAATTGAATACACTCCATGCTGGTTAGTTTACTGTCAATTTGACATAACCCAGAGTCACCAGGGAAGAGGGAACCTCAGTTGAGAAATATCCCAGATCAGACTAACCCATGGCTATGTATAGCGATGAGGCCAGCAGGCCTGCTTTTAGAAGGAACAGCAGGTTGCATTCCTGCTGCCTGGCTCCCGGTCGCCTGGCTAGCTTATGCCCGGAAATAACGACACACAAATTGTATTCATTTAAACACTGCCTGGCCCATTATAGCCTCTTATTGGCTAATACTCACATCTTGCTTTAACCCATATTTATTAATCTGTGTAGCACCATGAGGTGGTGGCTTACTGGGAAAGATCCTAACCTGCATCCATCTTGGGTCGGAGAATCATGGTGTTTGACTCATTGCCTTCTTCCCAGCATTCTGTTCTGTCTACTCCACCTATCTAAGCTGCTGTTCTATCAAAGGCCAAAGCAGTCTCTTTATTTTACCAATGAAAGTAACACGTAGATAGAAGACCAACCTACATCAGCCATGTCTGTAAGATTGTTTTGACTGGTGACGGATGTGGGAGGGCTGAGCCAGTAACCAACCTTCCACCATGATTCCTGCCTTGAGCTCCTGCCCTGACATCCTTCAGCAGTGGATTATGACCTGGGAGTGTTAAACAAATAAGCCTTTCTTGCTTTTAGTCATGTTTTTTAATCATTGTAACAAAAAGAAAAGAAACACTTCCTCCATTCTTTAGAAGACTGAAACATGCTAGCAGGTGCCTGCAGGGGCACAGCGTCTTGGCCCTCCAACGCTGCCACCCTCATGGTTCGTTTCACGCAGAATTGCACGTGTTATTTGCTTCTTATAAAAGCAACTGTCAAGCAAAATACTCTGGCATTAATTTCACTGGAGGTGAAAAAAGTATACCCAGTTTTGAATTGTGAATTCTTGGGCTAGTTGTGATGTTGGACAGAATTCAAAGAATGCTATGATGTTTCCATTTAGACTTTTAACTATCTTGTGCCCATGGTGTTGACTGGTACACAGTGTGGAAACATGGGACCCTAGAGAGGGAAGTTGGACCTAGATGCTCCGTTGGTCTTACATGAGTATTTTCCTGCCTCAGTTTGACCTGGTGTGTGGTCGGAAGTACCTGAAGAGGACTTTACAGTCGGTAGTCATGGCTGGCCTCCTCGTTGGGGCCCTCATCTTTGGGCCCCTCTGTGACTGGTAAGTGCTGCTGCCCCAGGGTGCTTTAAGCTCCTGGTGCTGACTCCGTTACCCCCCTGGAGAGTTGTTAGTCATCAAGATATGTCTTCATGCCTGCCTTCAAATGGGGCTCCATGGAAGACCCCGTCTCTCCTCTTACAGAGCCGAGGACAGGTCTGTCTGGGTCTCCCATCTTAGGAAGTTCTCCTATCTTCACGCCTTGTTCTTCTGTTACCTCAGGATTGGCCGCAGACCCTCCCTCCTGGTGCAGCTGCTTCTGTCTGCCATCATGGGCATGGCCGCAGCCTGCGTGTCCAGCTTTGAGCTTTATATGACCCTAAGCTTTGGCTTGGCTACCACTGTGGCTGGATTTTTACTCAGCACCAATGTCCTCCGTGAGTATCTGGGCCCAAAAGCCTGATTCCTCAGAGTTAGAGCCCAGATTTACCTGTGAGCATGGAGTCAGCCAAGTGCATCCAAAAAGGTCACAGCCAAGTTTTCTGTGCTGGCACTAAGTCACATCGCTGACAGGCTGGCACTTGGAATCTCCAGGGGTGGGTGAGTGGTCAGATTCCAGCCCAGGCTGAGCCTTTGCTCTCAGTTTCAGAATGGGTGGGGCCGTCCTGGAGAACACGGGCCATGGTCCTGTCCCAGAGCAACATTGCCATTGGACTGATGGTGCTAGCAGGCCTGGCCTATGGTGTCCGCAACTGGAGACTGCTTCAGATCGCAGGCACCGCACCAGTCTTCCTGCTCGTCTTCTACTTCTGGTAGGGAGGCCTTTGCCAGTGATAGGCCACCCTTTGTTGGGAGTGCCGTGGTGGGGTGCAGGACCCAGAAGAGGGGACCCGTGGGGCTTGGGTGGGAGGCTCATCGTGCACTGGAATTCTGGGTGGCTGCACTGGGCTCAAGACCCCAGTTATCAGAGCCATGTGTGGTTGACAGGGTTTTGCCAGAATCTCCTCGGTGGCTCCTCTCCAAAGGAAGGATAGAGGAGGCCAAACAACTGATCCAGAAGGCAGCCTTGGCGAACAGGCGGTCCCTTTCTCCAGAACTCCTGAGCCAGGTACCTGTCAGCAGGCACAGGCTCCCCCCTGCCTCAGGCATGTCTATGCTTGTGTCCTGGCCCCTCACTGTGTCCTTCTTCTAGCTGACCCCTGAGAAGACAGGTCCCTCGGGAAATGCGCTGGATCTTTTCAGACACCCCTATCTCAGGAAGGTGACACTGGTTCTCATTGCTGTCTGGTAAGTGTCCAGGGTCTTGTCCCTCAGTGAGGGCTGAGTCAGAGGACCTCTCTTGCTCTGCTGTATTTCACTGGAGTGGTGGACAGAGGCTCTGTGAACATGGTGGTTTCTCCCCAGGTGTGAGTTCATTGAGTTAGGCTGTTCCTTTGGGTGTGACTTGATGTACACCCAGCAATGACAAGGACATTTGGGTACTTTGTAGGTTTGTGGACAGTCTGGTGTACTATGGCCTTGGTCTCCAAGTGGGGGACTTTGGCCTGGACATCTACCTGACACAGCTGATATTTGGACTAGTGGAGGTGCCCGCCCGTTTTTCCAGCATCCCCATAATGGAGAAGCTGGGTCGCAAGTGGAGCCTGTCAGGTTCCCTGACTCTGGCTGGTACTATGTGCATCATCATCATCTTCATCCCAGCAGGTACCAGGTTGTCTTCCTCCCTGCCAGGGCTACCCCCATTGCTCCCACACCGTTACGGGTTCCCCAGGGTTTGGGCATGGAGGGTGAGACATTTGAGTGACAGGGAGGTGCATGGGCTTAGGTGATGGTGTCTTCCCCCTATGTGGCTGACCTTGGCTCTCCTTCAGGTCTCCCCACGGTGGTCACTGTGCTGGCTGTGGTGGGAAAGTTTGCGTCATCTTCTGCCTTCACCATATCCTATGTGTACACTGCTGAGCTGTACCCCACCATCATCAGGTAAGCACTGCCCTGGGGATCTAATACCACCCATTCCTATGATGCTCTGCTACCAGCCACTGGCAGCCAGTGAGCTGCCTATGAGGCCACTGAAGTGTAGGTCTGCTCACCGAGTCACCACAGGACACTGAAGGACAGATAGACATGAGCATGCCCTGGCTGTCTCTGGACCAGAATGTGGGAGAGAAGTTAGAGCAAAGGAGAAGTTAGAGTGCCAGGAGAGGGCACTCGGAAATGGAAAAGGCATTTGGGTCTCTAGAGGTGGCAGGAGAGCAACAGAGAGGGCTTACTACTCCAGGAAGCAGCTAGAGTAGGCAGGCACGGTGGCTGAGACCTGGGTCCTCACATCTCTGGAGTGGGTGTAGCCTGACCAGCGGCCAGAGCCTCAGCTTGTGATGCTTTCCCCAGGCAAACAGGCATGGGGCTGGTGAGCATCTTCTCCAGGATTGCTGGCATCATCACACCGCTCGTGATGCTGCTGGAACAGTACCACAGGGCTGTCCCCATGGTCATCTTTGGCAGCTTCCCCATCGTGGCAGGCCTACTGTGTGCTCTGCTGCCTGAGACGAAGGGCCAGATCCTGAAGGACACCATCCAGGACCTGGAGAAGGGGCACCCCCCGCGGTGAGCACTGACTTACTGGACCTCATTATGGCCAGGCTTTTCCATCACCATTACCCCTTTTTTCATTGCTTACTGGGCAACATGGTGCCCCCTTGGCACTGCTGTTATCTGGTTGATTTTAGAGCATATTCCCCCTACTTTGAGCAGGGAATGGTAAGAGCTCTGTCATGGGACCATGTGTTGGGCAGTCACTGACTGTATTGTGCTTCTTGTAGGTCCCACAACACTGCACCCCAGAGAAAAGAAATGGATGCCATAGGAAGGACTTCCAGCATGAGGAAGGCCATTGTGAATAGTTCGTACTTCTGACTGTGTCCACTGGGAGCCAGCCCACCAAAGACAGAGGACTTCCCATGACATCATCTGGATTTTGTCAGGATTTACAGGGACACAGGAATTAGACAGCCTTGTTCATGTAGCAACACAGCATGACCTGTTCACGGCCCCAGCTCCACGGGGCAGAGCCCAATGGAAGCGTCAAGGACTGGACCCCTTCTTCTTCACAACTCCCAGACACAAACTACACCCCACTACCATGACTGAGTTGGGATCGGGTCTCTCTTGGTCTTTTCTGACAGGCTTACTGTTATGGCCTCACTGTCCCCTCAGCCTGGAATACTCCACCCTCCTAAAACAGAACAGAAGCCAACAGCCCCATCCCAAACAAAGCAGCTCAAACCCAGAACAGGGTGCTAGGAAGGGCCAGCTACAGGAGCAGGCTAACAAAAATGCTGTGCCATATTCACTTTGAGGATCCCTTCTTCCTGGCCAGTGGTCAGCTTGTGCCTCACATGTGTGAGGCTGGCAAGGAAAGGGTGCCCTGCCCCTGCCCGCTGTGCCATGATGCCCAGTAGGTAAGGAAGAGGGCAGAGCTCCTTCTGTTTAACTGCTGTTAGTTCTTTCTTCCCAGTGGGCCCTGGCTCATCGGCAGACTGCCCTTGATGGCTTCGAAGAACTGGCTTTGCTGCCGGGCACATGCTGGGGCCATTTAGAGGTTCTCTGTGTTGTTTGGTAGCAGAAACACCATTCTCTTACCCGTAAGAGATGTAATTGGGGCCAAGCTCTTGTGTATATTTACAGACGGTCTCCTGTCAATTAGGTTATGTTTAGTGGTTTCTCATGAGCACTACAGACGCTAAGACATCTGGGATCCCAGGGGAGATTCTACCCAGGCCAGATCTCTTTTCAGTAGCAGGGAACTTTAAGAAGGACATAGTGGCTGGATATGCCAATCCACACCTGACCTCTAGAGGGCACTGCTGAACAGAGAATAGCCGGTCCAGAGCTACTAGGTGGTGAGGTTGTCTTTGCTGGGGTTGGTGCACTACTCAGACCTGGACTCCAGCCTTCCCATTTTACAGAGAGTGATATTGTTCAGCATGTGGGAGGCATTGAGTTTACTTCTCAATGCTCTCACCTACCCACACGCTTGCTCAAAATGGGTGATTTCATGGGTTACTTCACAATAAACCGCAGACTCTGCCCAGTAATGCAAAGTGAAGAGCTCTGGGAGTGTGCTCTCTGCAGGCCATGTCTGGGATTAAGACCACTGTACTAGACACTGGCTTGAGTTCTGTGTCTGAGCTCTAAGATGTTGCCCTAACCTCTGGTTAACTGTGCCTCTACTTTGACACAGTCCCTAAAGGCCTGATCCTTATGTCATCCACTTCCTCTCACAAATGTAAACCCACGTCCTTGTTACTGTGGGCCACAGCGTCCTTGTTATTGTGGGCCACTGTGTCCTTGTTACTGTGGGCCACTGCGTCTTTGTTACTGTGGGCCACCGTGTCCTTGTTACTGTGGGCCACCGTGTCTTTCTTACTATGGGCCACTGCATCCTTGTTACTGTGGGCCAGTGTCGGTAAACAACCCATGTCCTCAGCCCTTCTCAGAAGGCCTCTGTCCCCTCTGCCTCTGCATACACTGTGAAAGCTCTCACAGCAGGGGAGCTGGGTGAAGGGCCCCTTCCTCAGTGATACTTCTTGGCCATCACATCCCCTCACTTGCCAAACTCAATATGTGGAAGCCCCCACACTGAGTCTGGTCCTTCTTCTGCACCTCTAGATCATGTGCCCACCTTCTATAACCTTTCTCCTGGGCATAGCTACCCTGTGTATTCTCCTTACTGTCATCCTTTGGAGAAAACCCTTTCCTTCCAAAATCTCATACAAGAGAATAGAAGAGTGAGCTCTCGCAGACACCGCTTACCACAGCCTCTGCTCTGGTTACTTCTGTCTAACTGCAAGCAGAGTGAGAGAACAGGTTCAAGATTCTATTTTGAATCTTAATTTCTATTTGTGTGTGTTTATCTGTCTGCCACATGAATGCTGTGCCTGCAGAGGCTAAAAGAGGGCGCTAGGTGCCCTGAACTAGAGTGGCAGGCATATGCAAGCTGCCTGAGGTAGGTAGCGTGGAATGGAACAGGGGAGCTCTGGAAGAGCTGCAAGACCTCCTCACTGCTGAGACATCCTTCAGCCCTGACAAAATGACTTTCTAGGAAGAAGGATTTCTGCTCATGTTTTCAAAAGGCTTCCTCCATGGCCACTCAGCCCCGAGTGCTTTAGCTGAACGTCATGGGGGTGGGAGCGAGGGGGGGGTGAGGTTCTCCACCTCTTGAAGATTAGGGTAGAAGGTGAGGAATGGCCCAGGGACTATGTACAGCTTTTGAAGGTTTACCTCTAGTGACCTACTTTCTCTGTCAAAGACCCACCTCCTAGGTTCCTCAAGCTTTTTAAAATAGGGCCACCAGGTCAGTATCCAATATTCAACCCATGAAACCCTTGGGGTCATTTCATACTCAAACCCTAATGGCATGCTAACACTTTGGTTGGTTTCCTCTGTTCTTCCACCTGACTTGGTCTGCTTGGAGTGCACAAGAGCAGCCAGGTGATCTGAGGTGAGGGTGCCAGCATGTTGTAAAGGAGAGGCCTGCTTGTTTGTCCCGGCTGCCTGGCTAGCTTAACCTCGAAATAACCACACAGAAACTGTATTAATTAAATGACTGCTTGGCTTATTAGCTCTAACATCTTATTGGCTAACTCTTACACCTGGATTTAACCCATTTCTATTAATATTGCCACATGTCTGTGGCTTCCTGGGAAAGATTCAGCATGTCTGACTCTGGTGGCTTCATGGCAGTTCTCCTCACTTTGCTTTCTTCCTCCCAGAATTCGGTTCTGTCTTCTCTGCCTACCTAAGTTCTGCCCTATCAAGGACCCAAAGCAGTTTCCTTATTAACCAATGGAAGCAACACAAAGATAGAAGGACCTCCTACACCGACAGCATGGCCAGGTTCTGGTGAGGAGCCTTTCTCTGTGCCTGTGTGCATGCCTATATGAGCTTTTCTAGACCTCTGGGAATGGAAGGCCACCTCTCTTGGTCCTCATGTGGCCTTTCTTGGTGTGTGTGTATGGAGAAAAATTTCTCTTTCCCCTCCTCCTATTAGGTCACTAATTCCATCGGGGAGGTGTCTCACCTTGATGATCATATTTAGATATGATCTAATCATGGCCATGGCCTCACCTCCACATACTGTGACCCTGAGGGAAAGAATGCAGACATTCTACAGCAACCTTAGTTCCACTGGGACCTTGTGGTCTGTTGACTCTTATCCCAGATCAGAGCAGAAGCTGTCCCTCCACCTGCTGTGGAGACAGATCGGTCCTGTTGTTGTTACCAGCACCTCACACTTTAATTCCTGTGCTGTTTGGTTGTGTCCAACTAGAAAAGCCATAGCGAGTGAGCCCAGGTACCCGTGCTGCCTCGACACCCCAGACTGCAGGAGAGTCTTGTCCTGTTCGGTTTTTCTGTGAATCCAGCGACCAGCCTTCACAGGCTCTTAGCAGCCCAGCTCCTAATGGGCTTCTTTTCTGTCTTCACTAACAACCATTTCTTTTCTTCACTCTGCGTGTCTCCCATCATGCATTTCCTAAAAAGAAGTCCCCCCCTTGCTTCAGAAATGGGGGCCACCATGGGTCACCTCTCCAGGCTGCCTACCAGCAACCGTTTTGTCCTGGAGGAGATGCCATGACCTTTACCACAAACCTGGTTGCTGCTAAAGGTTAAGCCTCTTCTCAGTCTCTACTCTCTCTTTCCTTGGATCAAGGGTCCTGATTGTCAGGGAGGTCAGGGAAGGCTCTAAATTGCCCTCTTCTAAGTCTCTACTCTCTCTTTCCTTGGATCAGGGATCCTGGTTGTCAGATAGTTCAGGGAAGGCTCTAAGTTGCATTTGCCTCCGTGTTTCCACGGCAGCAATAAACTTCATTTCCTTCTGAAGTGCCAGGCATTCTCAGAGCTCTCTAGTGAGCCAACAACTATCCACTGTGCCACGTGGTCAGCCTAGGCCGCTTATCTCTAGAGGAGTCTGGGACAGGACTTGGCCACCATCATATTGGGGACAAGAAAGTCTGAGGGCCTCCCTGTGGGACTGGGCTTGTATCACTCTTCCTTGATTGCCATCTCCTGGCTTTTGTACTTCAGAAGTGAGGGTCTAAGTTGTCCTATTGTGTTTAGCTCACATGAGTTGAAAGACCCTAATATTTACTAATTCCTTCATACAGCAAGGGAGACAGAAATGGTATTCTAGGCTGATGTGTATATATGATGTAATTTAATTATATGTGTGCATGCATAGGGTATATATGTGTGGTGTGTGGGGTCAGACGGTGTCTTAGTTGGGGTTCCAACTTAGCTGTGAAGAGACACAAGGACCATGATGAGTCTTATAAAGAAAATATTTAGTTGAGATGGCAACTTACAGGTTCAGAGGTTCAGTCCATTGCCATCATGGTGGAACATGGCAGCATGCAGGCAGATGTGGTGCTGGAGAAGTAACTGAGAATCCTATGTAGATTTTATGGGCAACAGGAAGTGTGGTCTGAGTGTCACACTGAGCAAAGCTTGGACATATTATCAAAGCCCACCTTCACAGTGACGCACTTCCTACAACAAGGCCATATCTACTCCAACAAAGTCACACCTCCCCACAGCGACTCCCTTTGGGAGCCATTTTCTTTGAGGGTGACCTTGCATATCATTCCTCACCTCCCATCTTGCCTGGGCTGGAGTCTTTGCTGTGTATTACAGCGTAGCCTATGGGGTTTCCCCATCTCTCTTTCCCGTCTCAGTACAGTAGTGCTGGTGGGTTACAGATGTGTGCTTCCATTCCTGGCTTTACAGAAGCTCTGGGCAATTCAAACACAGGCCCTCATGCTTGCGTGGCAGACATATTCCTCACTAAACCACCTTCTCAGCCCCATCATGTGTGGACATGCATGTGTGTGCGTAATTAAAAGCAAAACTAATTAACATGTATAGCTGGTGTGACTATTAGCTCTTTAAGCTCATGTGTAAAGAACCAGCGTCTCCTTCCATTAAGCCTCTCTCTGTCATGTCTCCGATGACAGCAGTGTTCCTCGATGCCTAGAGATGAAACCAGAGGCAGGGCTCACAGGACCAGGTGGGTAGAGACTTGGGACTTACAGGACCAGTGGCTCCCCATCATGATTATTTTTCTTACCAACTGCTGGGATCTCAATGTGCTGCTGCTCAGGCCCTCATCCCTAACACTTCAGGTGTGTTAAGATCGGGGAACTCAAAGGGGCTTGAGGGCCTTGGAGCAGCTGCTTGGGTGACCTATAAACACCTGGGAGTCCTGATGAAGAAGAGAGTTCTGGGTTCCAGACACCAAGAGGATTTCTGTGCCTTTCGCAGGGAAGAGGAGACTTGAAGTTCCATGAACTAAAGAATAGCTATAAGGGTGGTTCTCTGTGATGATGACTTTAATAGCAAATTTGGAGAGAGGGAGAGAGAGCTAGCTAGCAAGATAGATAGATAGATAGATAGATAGATAGACAGACAGACAGACAGACAGACAGACAGACAGACAGACAGATAGGGAGGGGAGAGAGAGATAGGGAGGGGGAGAGAAAAAGAGTGTGTGTGAATATGCACTGATGGGGGATAGTCTTCTGTTTTGTGTTAATTTCATTGGTTAAATAAAGAGACTGCCTTGGCCTTTTGATAGGACAGAAAATTAGGTAGGCGGAGTAGACAGAACAGAATGCTGGGAGAAAGAAGCCGAGTCAGTCAGTAGCCATGATTCTCCCACCGGACACAGACACAGGTTAAGATCTTTCCTGGTAAGCCACCTTGTGGTGTTACACAGATTATTAAAAATGGGTTAGATCTATATATAAGAGCTAGCCAATAAGAGGCTAAAACTAATGTGCCAGACATAGTTTAAAAGAATACAGTTCCCATGTAATTATTTTGGGTATTAATTTAGCCATGTGGGCAGCTGGGTGCCAGGGAAGTAGCCCGCTGCTCATATTACAGCAATGCACATAAGCCAGAGGTTGACCTTGACTGTCTTGGATTAAGAGCCACTTGCCTTCTCTGTCTCTGTTTCTTTGTGTGTGTGTGTGTGTCTCTCTCTCTGTCTCTGTCTCTCTCTCATTTGTGTGTATGTGTGTGTATACATGTGGAAGCCAGAGGTCCGCACCGGGTATCTTTTTTTAATCCCTTTCGACCTTAGTTTTTGAGACTTGGTCCTTCAATGAACCTGAACTCCGATTCAGATATTCTGTCTGGCTGTTGAGCTCCCGGGGTCTACATGTCTCCATCCCATCTGCCTCCTACCATTTCAGAGCTGGGAATACAGATATCTGGGGCTGGGCCCGGAGTTCCCATTGTTCCTGGAGATCTGAATTCAGGTCTTCATGTGTATGTGACAAGCACTTTGCCAAGTACTGAGCATTCTCCCTAACCCCTCCACCTTGTTATAGGAGATAGGATTTGTCACTGGGATGAAAGACGCGCCAATCAGCTAGGCTGTCTGTCCAGCCGGCCTCAGGGACCCTCCTGTCTCTGTAGGGCTGGGCTTACAAGCCACCACTTTCAGCTTTCACACGGGTCCTCTATGCTTGTGTGGTGAGTCCCTGGCCTGCTGAGTTGTCTCCTGAGTCCCGCCTCCTGACTTTTCTCTGCCAGTTTTGCCAGTGCCCTGCAGTGAAGGAGCCATCTGGCAAGTCTGGTCCCCAGCGTCCTTTGCTGTCATTCCTGCTTCTTACTCAGTTCTCATCCTGAGCCCTGTCCTAAAGCCACGAGCCCTCTGTTCCCCACCCCAGTTCTGGCTGGCTCCTAGGCCTGTGTAGATTCCCCAGCCCTACCAAGCAGAAAGACTGTAGTCCCATTGCATTAGCAGAGAAGGCCCCGGCTCCTGGGAAGGTGGGTCAGACATGAGCAGGTCTAGCAAACAGAGTTGTGTCCTTGAGGGAAAAGCAGTGTAGCACAGAGAGAGGCCTTTCTAGGGGTGGGGTCAGGAAGGCTTGAAGGACAGCTGACCGGGAGTGGGCTTTCATTTGGAGGGGAAGTGCTTCCGGTATAGAAGACAGTTTGTGTAGAAGCACAAGTTTTCCTCACAGGCAGTTTGCATACTTGCCTTAACCATTTCTGGCCTCGAGACCGTGGCCACCTGTGTGTCTGGAGTAGAATACGGCCCTCAACATTCCTAGTCCACCCTCTGCGACCCATTGTGACATGATCTACCTAGCCACCAATGGAACCCAGGGTTCTGCTTCTAAGGCTCTGGTTGGGTCTGGACAACAGTCAGGTGGGCCCTGGCTTGGCTTGTGTTCCTGACCCCAGGGAGGACGGACTGGGGGCAGGTGTAGAAGGTGGTAAGTATGATAACACCTGGTGAGTGTGGGGCCACGTTCTCAGCACAGATCTGGACGGGAATGTGCCTGATCCTGTTCAGTTGTGGGGACTCTGGAAATAGCAGGCCGTCCTCAAGGGAACTGTGGGGTTTCCGATGTGGCACCTGGCCGTTTTCTGTGTGCAGGTGGAGTACTGGATTCTCTGTTCTTCTAGTGGGACCTTTGGGATTGGGGACGGTGGTGTGGTCAGGGGCCTTGCAGACTGCCAATCGCCATGGGCAGTCCGTGGAGGAAGGGGTTAATTAAATTAATTGAGCAAATTAACCAATTTAACTAAATTAACCAAGCTGGGCTTGAACTCATCTTGTACCCTAGACTGGTCTCAAGCATTGTAATCCTCTTGCCTCAACATCATAAGTAGTTGGAATCACAGGCCTATAGTGCCAGGTCCAGCTTCCTTCCTTTACTTTGACCGTAATTTATTTATTTATTTATTTATTTATTTATTGATGGAGGTGGGTCTTGTATCTTATCTGTTGATTTCATTGGTTAATAATAAAGAAACTGCCTCGGCCCTCATAGGACAGAAAATTAGGTAGGCGGAGTAGACAGAGGAGAATGCTGGGAAAAAGAAGCTGAGTGAGTGAGTCGCCATGATGCTCCCACTCCAGACAGACGCAG